AAAAGGAGAGACGCGGACTGGTTGGTCCCAGTGCCGGACTCAGGCTGATAGTTACCTGTTTAGACTACCAACCGACTCCATACTCAGCACCAAGATTCGAAGACAGTTGATTGCTCCCTGATTGCTCCCACCCCCTTCCTTGCCTTCTTGAAGCTGGACCCTAAACCGCCTAGTGTAAGCATCATACATATTTAGTGTGGTGGGGGCAAATCCCACAGCTCCAGTCACCCCTTCCAATCCGCGCTCGTTATTTGCCCTGCGCTTAATGTAACTGCCCCATTACGTTGGTTGATTTATTTTGCCTTTTCTTCCTGTCGTATTTGCTCCAGCTAACACGTCGCCTGCGACTATCTAGGATTATTATTAGTTGTTATCTAAACTTAGCGGCGGTGTTTGGTTACGGTCCACGGGTGGGCTTTGGCTGTTGGATCGAAGATTCCATTTCTCTTAGGGGGGAAGGATGGGTGGCCACTTTTTATCTGTGACTAACCAACCGACTATTGACCCCCATAACATTTGTCCAGGCCACGAGGCCCTGTAGCTTGTACTTCGTAGCCTGAGCCTGAGCCTTGTCCACTCTATAGTTGTTATTTCCACCCGTTTAGCGCTACCTACTCTTTGCTAGTGCATTATTATTGATCATTATTATTACTTTTTCCTTTTTCCCATTAATATTATTATTTTCGCCTCTCCGCCGTCCCCTATCGCCTTCTCTGATCATCATAAATCATATCCCCTCTTCCCCTTATACTTACTCCGTACTTCCCTTCATCATCATCGTCTCCATTTCGTCGTCTGGTTTGCGTGGGCTCTTTCTGCTGTATTCCTTTTCCTTCTGTCTTTTTGTTATATTATTTTGGATATATCTTCTTCTCTTCTCAAGACAGCTCTCTTCCTTAAAACAGTCGACCATTGATATAATCTTCCACCATCTCTTCCACAACCCCCAACATCATCGGACCCCCAATCTCCGTGTGGGTTCAGGACGCCGCATCTTCCATCAGGCAGTGCAACATCAACAATCATACAACCAACACCTGTTTACTACTGCTACAACAAGCCACCACCAACAACAACATCTTCCTCTACAGGCCATTCCCTAGGATTTTGGACTAGACTTGGAACCATCCTGCTTCTTCCAATGGATACCTGAGTCGAAAATAAATATCCCTTGTCCCTTGAACGACTCTCCCTTTTGGATATCACCGCTACCACCAGGCCGTTTGGATTTGGATCTTGCCATTTAAAGGAATCTCCCATCAGTCGGACTATCCACTACAATTCATTCTTACCTTGCTGGAAGGCTGCATATCCCTGTGCATCCTTTCCAGTCTTTCCCCCCTCTATATCACATCTGCCCTTAATGCTCTCCCCAAATCCCTTCGGCATGTATCCCCCCATGCTTCCAACTCCTCCGCCTTCTCCTCCCACCACCCGTGTTTATGCTCCGGAAGACCGCCTGGGATATCTTCTAGCCAACCGGCTGGAACTGACAAGCATTCTTGGAGTTGGTGCGTACGGCGTGGTCTACACCGCCGTCGACATCCACACCAATGTGGTGTATGCCGTCAAAGCACTGAACAAGGTCGGACTTGATGCCCGGCAGCTCAAGTTCCAGCAGCGCGAAATCAAGCTCCACCATTTGGCTAGCCAACATCCCAATGTGGTTTCCCTGGTTCGTATAATGGATTCCGTCGACTGTACCTATGTGGTCATCGAATTCTGCCCCGAGGGTGATCTGTTCTCCAGCATCACCGAAAAGGGCAACTTTGTGGGCAACGATCCCTTGGTCAAACGCGTCTTTCTCCAGATCCTGGATGCCGTCCAGTATTGCCACTCCTTAGGAATCTACCACCGGGACCTCAAGCCGGAGAACATCTTGGTGACCGATCAGGGCCTGACGGTCAAACTGGCCGACTTTGGCCTTGCTACCACGGATTATTTCACTTCGGACTTCGGTTGCGGTTCCACATTCTACATGTCTCCAGGTAATTTACTTGCCCTCTTCTTGTTGCGTTCATTCGGCTGACTTAATATCTGAAGAATGCCAGCAACCGAATCCCCGACCATTGTCTTGCTATGCGTCGGCCCCCAATGATGTGTGGAGCCTGGGGGTGATTCTGGTTAACCTCACTTGCGGGCGCAACCCATGGAAACGTGCCTCGATCGAGGACTCCACATTCCGGGCCTATCTCAAGGATCCTTACTTCCTCAAGTCCATTCTGCCCTTGTCAGATGACCTGGTTTGCATCTTGAGCCGCATTTTCGAGTGTGACCCTGCTAAGAGAATTACCATCCCGGAGCTTCGCCAGTTGATCCTGGATTGCCCTCAATTCACTCTCAACCCAGTGACCCCCTGGGTTGCTCCCCATGGACCCTTGCCTTACGACGTCATCAGTGGGCCACAGGTCCCTGTGTCTGTCCCTGTGCATACATTCAACACGCAGTCATCGACATCCTCGTCGGACTCGTCTCACTACTCGAATTACTCCGAGTCTGCTGCGTCCGATAGCTCTTGCTACACGGAAGTATTTACCGATATGGACAGCGTTCCATCGATGTCTTCCGTCGAGTATGAGCCGGAGACGGATTGTCAGGGCGACCTTTCTATGGACTCCCTGACATGCAAGGACATCTCGGAGGCCATCGTTGTCCACCAGCCAAACCTTCAGGCACTATGCGTCTGCTAAGGCATGACGGCGGACGAACGTGGATACAGCCGAATTAATGCAAACTTAACGATTTACGCCATCTATTCAACATCAGGAACTGGATTTCCACAACATTTATACGGCCCCAGTTTTCATTCGGCTTCTTTTTGCATCATTCCCCCTTTTTTGGACATACACCTTAATCTTGGATCATTTTCCCCTGGACTCCTGGGTAACCTCTGCCTGGATTATCTGGTTAACCGCCAGTCAGCATAGGATCCGTTGAGTTCCGGGATCCCTTCTCTGCACACTGTTTTGTCTTACTAATATGTTACTATTTACGGGTGGATCTTTGGGTTATTTGATATCTGGTCGGATTCTGTGTTTCATGTGACTGTTTTGGTGTTGTGGTGTTGGGCTTGAAGAGCATTTTCTGAAAGAAAAGAAATACCCCGGGTCAGAGAAGCATTGCCTGTCTGATTTTTACCTTGTTCATTTTTGCCATGGGAGTCTAATATGGACGACGGCAGTGGCATGGATATACCACGGAAGCATTGGGAGGAAACAGTGATCTGTTTTATTTGCTTGGTTAGAGCAACTTGCGAGGTTTGGAGATATGTCTCCGCTGGACTGGAGGATAAGTTCTGATTCTTACGTGTGTGTAAGATTGTGCAAGGTTCATTAGCCGATCAGGCTCGTCCATTTTGGAATCAATACACCTATACAATAGACTTTGACAACGACTTTCTGTCCACTTCTCACTTCTGTATACATCCTACGTTCTGCGCTCCACATCTGGCGTGCCGAAGCCACTCATCAGCTAGGCTATGGCCAGTGTGCCTGTCAGCCCGTCAGCCCGTCAGCACATCGTGCCGATCAAGTGACTGTTGTGCACACATAGGCTGACGTGGAACCAGACCCAGCAGATTGGTGTTGTCTCTATTTCCTGCGTCTGCCACGTCAAGACGCTCATGAACTGCAGCATGGCTAACTCACTAAGCGGTCTGGACATATAACTATATGATTTGATATCACACTGTATATATACCTGTACCATCTGATCACGTATTACGACCTCCCGTCACCCGGATCGTCTCCCCACTCACATACGAGAAGTAAGGACTGCAAACCCCCAGAATCGCCCTGGCCGCCTCCTCGGGACTCGCCGGCCGCCCCAGCGGAATATCCGGATACGCCTGCTTCTCGTCCCCCTTGCGCCCAGCCAGCTGCTTCCCGGGGATCCCCAGCGCAACCTTGGTCCCGTCCGGCGTGGTGATGAACGCGCCCTCCTCCTTCGCAGCCGTCAACCGCGTCTTGACAAACCCAAACGCAATCGTGTTGGCCCGCACCCCGTACGCAGGACCCCATTCTTTCGTGATGGTCTTGGTCAGTCCCACCAGCCCGGCTTTGGCAAGCGCGTAGTTGGCTTGTCCTCTGCACCCAGCACCAATCAGCACACTATACCAAAAATAGAGGTGGGGAGATGTAGACGTACGCATTCCCATGAATCCCACTCGTAGAACTAATATTGATAATCACCCGGTCCGCCCCGTCCTTGACCCGGAAATACGGCGCCGCGGCCCGAATCAGCTTGAACGGCGCCGTGTTGTGCACCGCAAGCATCGTGTCCCATTGTTTGTCGGTTATCTACTAACCATCAACTACTAGCTCGAAAGCGAAAGCGCAAGAGGGAGATCGCAAACAAACCTTATGAATCACCCCATCCCAGGTAAACCCCGCATTATTCACGAGGATATGAATCTTCCCGTTCCCGAACTCGGCCGCCTTGGAGACAAGATCCTTGATATAAGCGTCGTCGAGGATATCGCCTACGACGGCGAGGGCGCGTCCTGCGCCAGCGGCGTTGATGGCGTTGGCGACTGTGGTGGCTTTTTCTGTGGGGTGTTAGTTACTGATCTCCAGGTTGCAGTGGGATGGCACAGACCAGCGTCGATATCAGCGATGATGACCTTTGCGCCTTCGTTGGCGAACAGCCGGGCTGCTTCGGCGCCGATGCCCTGGCCTGAGCCGGTGATGATGGCGACTTTGCCTGCGAGGAGGCCGGCTGGGTAGTTGAGGTGGGCGTTGACTTGGGCGAGGCGGGCGGCCATGTTGGTTTTATATTTCTACTTTACTTTTGTATATGAAATTGAACTGAATTGCAAGCAGTGTTCTTTCTTTGAGATATAGACGAGGTGCTGGTGGCTTATATTGATTCGTGAGGGGAGAGTATAGCGGGTAATTGCCGAGGCCCGTCAAAGCCGAGAGCCGTCCTGCGTATGGGAACTACAGTACTACTACTACATCACGGCAACAGTCCTCGTTCAAGTAACTACGGATGAAATATAATTAAGTAGGACATACATCATTCCCCGATAAACAACGCAGAAAAGCTTCCACAGTCGCTTCGTACCCCCGAAGAATCTGATCGAGACAGCTGCCTCCGCGGTTCTCATCATACAGTCCTTGCCCGAGATGACCGGATGGCGATCCGAGGCAGACATCGATCGCTTCCTGAAGTACAGCAAACACCTCCTTGCACTGAACGAGTCGCGCACGGAGCAGGAAGCGACTGATCCACCAACTTTCCTCCGAACACAATTCATAATCTCCATATCTCGTCCTCGCACTGTCAACGCCCACTGAATGCTGCGCCGCCAGCCCATACGATATCCAGTATTCGAATATTTGCAGTGTAAAGTCTACCGTAGAGATAGGCAACAGCAGACTGGTGCTGTCTTTTGGGCAATTTCTGCATTGCAGATATCCTTGGCAGACGGTCAGAGCCACCTTGATCCCCTGCAGCATCTGATCGACTCGCAGGTGGCTGGCGTTGGCCATCATATCCCTTAGCTGGTTCATATGAAACACCACTGTTCCTCCACATGCGCACGTCGGTTGCGGTGCATCGGGGATGTGGACTGCGAGAGGACAGCTCGTGAGGCCTTTGGTGATGAACTCCTTCTGAAGAAAGGTCGGTGACATGGACGCCTGCATATAAACCGGGTCTGCAGATGGCAACGGTTCTTGAAAGGAAGAATATGCAAACACGGATGTGGATGCGTCCGCCGTGAGGTCGGTGTCCCGGCTGCTAGGGCTCTCGTGGAACTGTGCGATGTTGTTAGCATTCTACCCGACCGATTCATCATATCACAACACACGTTTCCCTCATTGCTCTGAAGCACTTGGGACCTTTCACATACCGTGTGACTGTGATTGTCCATGACGGTGTCTGGGTTATGCTTTCCCTTCAAAGCACGTAATACAGGCTTCTCGTCGGGCAGTTGTCCCAGCTTCTTCAACGTGGCCCTGTTCTTACTGCCCTTGGGTTTCCCTGACCGGTTGGCGAGCCGATATCGACAAGGCAGCCCGTGACGAAGACACCGGATGCAGGTACTCTTTCCAGAAAGGTTGCATTTCACCTTTGATTGTCTGCAGTTCTCGCAAGCGGCCCGGAGTCGGGGTGTGTCTCCACTGTGGCCGGAAGGTTGATCGGATCCTGCATACATCTGTGCAGATTAGACCCGAAGGCAAGCCTTTTTGTCCTTCGGAGGATACTTATTTGATCTATTCCTGCCGGCTTATGAAACAAACATCTCATGTGAGGAGACCCACGCCGGATAAGCGATCCAAATGCTGGCCACCCTGACAAGCATCTAAAGCAACCACGCCGATGTGATAGGAAGGCAGAATACCCTCAGACGGTGACTTCAACCAACCAACTCCCTCTTATATAACTGGAATGCAGAACTTAGAGTCAATGTCCGTATCAGGATTCCCTAACCGACGGCAACCGCATACGAAGTCAGCCGCTGTGAAACCCAAATGCTCGGTCTGATCCCCCACGCATAAGAGCGACCAACAATCGTCAACAGTCCTTACTGTAGTCCCACGGGCCCAGACTAAGCTGATCCCAAAGGGGCAGTTGCCGGATGACTTGGCTGCCACCTGATTTGCTAAGGATGGGTGATTTTTAAGCGGCAACCATTCTCACCTGGCAATGGCTGCCTGAAGAGGGCGGCGTCGATGCAACAGTATCAACAGACACAGTGGTGTGATCATGAGATGATGGTAATTAAACTCTACCCAGTGAGCCGCCATCTCTGAGCTGAGCCATTGGTGTCGTCAGCCACTGTGTCCAATGACTTTGCTGTCTTTCAGAGTGAGATGATCACTGAGATGCATGACAGCCATGCCATGTGAGCTGGAGATTTCTATGTGCGACTCTCTATTCGTCTGTCCAGCTCGAGTAGCCGGGAAGCAAGCGGGGAGCATGTCAAATCAATTCTTGATGGAAGCCAGGTGATGCTTCCAGAAACACCTTGTATGCTTGCACGGCATTTTGAGTTTGCCAATTCACATCGTGGAAGAGCTCCCGCATGCCAGACTGTCAGCAAGGGGGTGACTTGGTTGGACAAATCTCGTGTCGTCCTCGAGAAGTCACCATCAGCACGCGTCATCTTCTCATCTACTAATACGGTAATGGCTACATATGTCAACCAAAACATGTTGTTCAAGAGTGATGCATTGCGCGCGTGATTCTATCAGTTTTGGCGGCGAATCAGAAGATCAGTTGGTCTCTAACAGACAGCTTCCTGCAATCCCACTATGTCGGTAGTCGAATGCTTTGAGTAGGCCAGTCAAATGAGCCACAGCAGCGCAAACCACTAGTACGTGGAAGATCTGGTGAGAGCTTCCCAATATATCGAACTTGCCCGGCCGCAGACGTTCAGGAACTCGAGCTGCATAGATTGTAGCCCCCAATATGTAAAGGAACCCCTGCAGAAGAAGCCATCCGAGCCCAATCTGGCGCGTCATCTGGTCGAATCCGAACATTTGCAACCCGTGGAGCACAGGAAACACCGCCGACAGACCCATGCCGACAAACATGGCTGCGCGGAAAGGCCGCCACTGAGGCGTCCGGAACTTGGGGAGAACCGAGACAATAACGCAGCCAAGACCAATAGTGCAGATCATCGTCCAGTACAGCCGTTGGAGGGCTGGGACGCAGTAGAAACCATAGTAGACGCTTGGCACGAAGCTTCCCACAATAAGGCCTACGATCCCGACATAGTCAAAGGTATTTCCTATGCGAGCGACTAGCGGGGAGTGATTTGAAATGGTATGATATGTTGCCGACATCCCCAAACAGAAGGCAGCTCCTGCAAAGAAGCAACTAAAGGCAATGATATCGTCCCTTGTGGCAGTCCCATAGCGAGGAACAAGCTCCTGGTACAGTAAGTACGCAGCGGGAATAGACAGCAGTGATGGCAGAAGATGAGTATAGATGTTGACTGTTTCGTTGTGGAGGTACGTGAGAGACTGAAAGGACACGAGAAACGAGAACGAGGCTGGTCGGTATCCCGTGTGGATGTGGTGATTATCACGTTGCCAATGCGGCAGGTCGTCCCAATGAAGAAGTTTTTTCACGACCTCCGGCGGCTTCTCGAGAACTGCAGAAGCTATAGCAGCAGGCTGAGACGAATTCGATGCATTTTGATAGCTCTCAGCGGGACGACGTTGGCGAGCAGACATGTTTCTTCACATGCAGCAGAAGTATGCAAACAAGTATAGAAGCGGGTAAGTGGAAGAAACTTGAGCAGATCAACACAAGTTTGTCACCACAACTACGAATTGATGGACCACGAACAGTTGGGAGGATGATAAGGACCGATGAGTATTGAGATCCGAGACAGAAGCAACTGTTGAAAGATACCTTAGATAAATAGACTGTTGGGAATCGCTCAGAATTGTCCTGTTGGGGAAAAAAGGAACCTCGGCGTCCCACTCGAAGCAAACAGGCAAAACCAAGCAAACAAACCAAACAAACGGTCAGGGCAGTGGAGTAATTCCTTCCACGAGTTGACGATCCATGATCACACCAGACAGACGACAGCGATAAAGCTGTTATCTCCCCTCATGACGCAATTCACCATCCCGCTCTTCATTACGGCACATTGCCAGCCATGGCGGGTCCCGCAGCACGTTCGGCTCGATTCTCCGAAAGCCGCTTAAAGCCTCTGAAGGACAGGGATCCTCTTGAGGTGGTTGGATTTGTGTCCAAAGGTGATCGGCTGTATGTGCGCATCAAAGTTCAATGAGGAGATCGGAGGAAAAGGCCGGATGGGGAGTTGTTCATTAAGCTGATCCCTCACAGGCTCCTAGATCACAAGGAACAAAAGAAATATTTTGAGCGCATCAAGGGTCGATGGATGGAGTTTTGTGCTCGACATGCCGGAAATCTGATTGAAGCTTTCGCATCCCTTCCTACCAGTGCCTCCGTGGACGCGACAAAGAACCCACCGACGTCTCGCCTCCAGTTGCCTAGCCACAAGACCGGGCAGACTGGTCCTCCGCCGGCTACGGAATTATCCACTCTGCTGCTGTCTCTCCGCAAGCTCCGGGAAGCCGTGCTAGCCACCGCGTCCTCAGTTCCCGTGCCTTTCCAGCAGCAGGTCCATGTGTTTTCAGTCACAGTTTCCATCCGCGCTCAGCATCCACCTTCATATTTCCCTTCTCTCCGTTATCTTCTTGAAACATTACATTCACCCTCTCACCCTTTACCCGACTCCGAGCTCAGAGACATCATATCATATTTGATCCTCGACTATGCGTGCCGGCAACGGGATATGGTTTCTGCCTTCGAGCTGCGTGCACGCGCGCGTACTCAATACGCCTTCGAGTCGGACGTAGTTGACCGTGTTTTGGCGGCGCTGATGCATGACAATTGGATTGCCTTTTGGCAGGTTCGGAACGAGGTGGATTCACCTACGCGGGCTGTGATCAATTGGGCCGAGGACCGTGTCCGGAGGCATGCGCTGAAAGCCGTCGGCAGTGCTTATCTCAACGTCAACGTGAGCTGGATTGTCGAAGGCTGTACAGGAGATGGGAGACAGTGGACTTGGGAGAAATTGGTGGAGAAAGAAGGCTTGGGTTGGCAGCTAGAAGGTGACAAGGTAGTCATTCGAAAACCTAAACCCAAAGTGGTACCAGTCAAGAACAGCGAATGAAAAGGCGTTGGTTCATTGATTCATTTATAACGATTGTTCCCACGCTTCGGCGTCAAAGTGAGCATTTGAGGCATTGCACGGTCATGGCGTTTGTTTGGGTTGGCATGAGACAGCATGAGCGTCAGACGTCTCGTTGGATCATTCATCATTAGCAGGTTGGACCTTAGATAGTGTTCGGGAGAAATGAAATATCACTATCCCTCCCAACGCAGGACATCAATGTAGGTCGTTTTGGAATGCGTCAATCTCATAACTTGAAATCCGCACTTGGCCGATCAAGATTGAGATCACCTGAGATGGGCTGCTTGGCAACAGACTCGGCAAGGCTGGTCTTGAGAATACCAGCCTTGTCGGAGCAAAGCTCGTAGACCGTGGACAGATTGAAGACCAAACTGCCAAACGAATGGTTAGAACCAACCAGCGACTCCAGAATTTGACGAGCCTGTGAGTAAGCGTCAGCTTTAACTTCCTCGGCGAGTATATCGGACCGGAAATGTATCGACTTACCTCATTAAGCTGTCCCGTGTATAATAAACAGACAGCCAAATTCTGGGAAATCAAGGCTTTATCATTTCCCTCTTCGCCGTTCTCGAGAAGTGCCCTCCATTCGGCCACTGCATCGTTGTACTGGCCTTCCGCCATGCTGAGGAGCGGTTTAAGGATACTCTCGTTGGGCACGCCTGCTCCCTCGTATACTTTCTTTGCGGCGTCAAGGTCGCCAATCATCAAGAAGAGAAGCATTTTTCTTGATTTGTTTATCGCGGCTTCCGAGTCGGATATTTTCAGGCTGTGCAGTGATCTTCTTGCAGCATCAAGATCCCCCATTTCGATCAAGGCATTCACGCTTCTGATTCCGAGATCAGCCAATCTATCCCTCCAGATTTCTCGCTCCGCTTGTGTTAAGTCTGTTCGCATGATTTCCCTTCGCGCCTCGAGGCCAAGTTCGTACAGGCCGCCAATGCCTCGGCGAGAATCACCAAACCCGATGCTCTGGAGCCTCACTGCTAGAACTCTCAGTGGCCATGGTACGATATGGCGGGCATGAACTGACGGTTTTTGAGGGTGTTCTTTCGCGGATGCGTCTTGGTTGAAGTCAACATAATAAAAGGCCGAAGTCAAGTCTTCAAGGGCCTTTGATTCTTGCGCTGCTAGAATAGCATTGCCAGACAGTTCTAAACATGCTAGTCGTGTATAGAAAAGCCCAAAGATCAGCTTGGTATCAGTTGGCGAGAGAGCACGAGAAGTCAGGATCGTTCCGCATAGATAAGCGGCGAGTAAGAAGTGGCCCTCAGCCAAGAATTTCTCAACTTTACCCAAGGATGAGCTCAATAGTTCATCAGGGGCTGGTGTGACAAACTCCGAGCGCAGTGGAGGTGGAATATCAATTTGTGATAAGGAATGATAGACGTCGTAGCGAACGAGATAAGACAGGTCTTTCTCCATGCCCGGTGGTAGCTCGTTTGGCGCCAGTGGATCTAAAGCTGTAAGAGTGTGACCCGAGTAAATCCCAGTCTGAGCTGCATCTTGTACAAAAGAAGCGGACGATTCATTGACATTGGCTGAGCCGAGGGGGCTATTTCCTCGTCAGCATATCCTTGTGGCTTCGGGAGACCAGAGTTCGGCTCACTCGTTGAGTTCATCTAAAGGCCCTCTCGTTGAGCTACGAGGTCTTGAAGCTGAGGGAAACACATATCAGCTTAAGGAGCAATATCGAGCTTTCTATGTTGTCCTTACATCTGGAGACAGCCCGGCTATGCTTGGAGTCAACAGACTCCATTGCTGTAGATATAGAGAGCTTAGCAGCTCAGTCTTGAGCCTACACAGAGTCCCGATGTCCAACACACGTTCTCTATAGAGCTCTTCTGCGAAGATTGAGATATCTGAGGTTGTTTAAATGGAGTTATGAACGCCGAATAGCTCTCTACCTAGCTACCCAGTTTTGCCGCGGGCGGTGAGCGGGATCGACCCGATCTGGCAACCTGGCCCATACCCGCACCTGTCAATCGCATCTACTCAGCCACAGTTTATTGTTGAGCGTCAACAATCAAACGTTCTCCCCGTCTTCATCCCACACACGAACTCCGTCTTTGGTTCATCTCAGTGAGACGATCATTCTGTATACAGACATACCCTTTTTCGCTTCAAATATAAACTCTATCATCCACCATGACATTGGCAGAGGAATTCCGCTCGAGAAACTTCAGTATGTGTCTTCGTTGTTTATCTTTGAGAGGCAAGAAAGAGCCAGATTGCTGATCATTTAACTCTTGTATAGGTATCTACGGACAATGGTTTGCTACCCATCCTTTACTTCTTCCTCCCTTTTCTTTACGTCCTTTTCAACGTTGAGCGCGGCCCAAAACAACATGTCGGAGAGAAATGGCGGTTGCCTGGATCTACCACCAGGCCTCCTCACACTGGCTGCATTGAGATTGCCACAACACTTTCAAGGGGTTTACAGCATGAAATTGCGAATCTCCAGCGACGATAGTTTACCGCGTGTTGTCACAGTCCTGATCTGAAAGCTTGCTGACTCGATCTTGGATAGGACGGGTGTGCTGTGCATCATCCTCTGCATTGCTCTCGGAATCGCAAACATCTTCTCTTTCGCTGTTTTGCGCATCATCTTCAGCGTACTATGCCTGTATGCAAGTCCTACTGAGCAACGCTCTGGACCGTGGAACTGACGATCATAGTGTCTCGGGATTGATCCTCATCTTCATTGAAGTTCCTTTCTTGCTGAGAATCTGCCCTACCTCCTCCAAGTTCGATGCCTTCATTCGGCGCTTCACCACCAACTGGATGCGCGCTGCGATGTACGCCATCATGAGTGTCGTTCAATGGCTTAGTCTTCTCCCCGGCTCCGGTGCTTCCAGTTTGATCGTCGCAGCCGTCTTCTTGCTGATCGCCTCCATATTCTATGCTTTGGCGGGCCTGAAAAGCCAAGAATTCGTGGGCAGCAAGACTCTTGGTGGGCAGGGACTTGTCCAGATGATCGTTTGACGGAGATATTCAACCAAGTCGTTTCTCGGATTGTTGGGTACCCGGGAGACACTGAAACGCATTGGATGCACGTCGGAGCGAAAGGAGAGTCGAAATAAAAAAAAAAAATAAAAAAGGGATCACAACCATCATTCCCGCAGTGTATGCGCCATGATTATGACTGCCTAAAAAAGGCCTGTACTTTTATCTCATGCTGGATTGGCGGATGCCGAATTCGTCTGAGGTTGGGAACGTTGAAGGAGCGGATGCCCATTTCATACTCGTTTGTTCTGCATTGTTTGAATTTGCATGTGTCTTTACTCCTGCGCGGATTTCATCCTCGGCCGTGGCTCGAAGGTCTCGAGTTATATTGCGAGTGCAAGTATACCACTTAATACCCTGTTAGCATCCTGGTGATGAATGAATTACTTTAGAAAGGAGAAGATATTCGATCCTGTTTGGGTCCTGAAATGGTTTCTGAAATAAATAGTATCAACTTACAATGCAAGAGTCAATATCCCCATGATAAACTTGCTGCTGACCATACTTATGCCCATGGGAAAGCAAACAGCAGGCTTACATTTCTTTGATACTGAGATGTCAGTTTACCAACAACCTTGAAGGTCATGAAGCTTTCTCTAATTGCTCCTTTCCTTAAGGCAGAAACATAACAAAGTATCTCTTATTTAACCAGGAATGTGACTGTATAGGGTCTCTATTACAGGCTTCTTACTCAGGTTGTCTCTGTGCCTGGACACCAGCATGGACCTAGGTAAGCGGCTTGGTAAATCTGCCATACACCACACAAGCACGCATCACCTTCCCTTCGAATACTGTTTATCTACTGCTCCGTACCTAGGTAGGACACTATACCTAGGCAGGTCGTTATTGATGCCGATGGACTGTACTAGAAAACCCGCTTTACGTCATATACCCCTCCACCAGGAGAGAAGCCTTTACCCCGCGTTTTGAGGACCACTAATTGGAGGTTACGAAAGCAGGAAATGAAGCCATTATGGTGATTCCGGTTGTAGCACTCTAGTACTTGACCTGCGAGTACAGAGTACCATATGCTCGACGGCGTCGAAAATGAGAATCGGGGTGTATGAAGATTGAAGTGTATTCCTATTGTAGGTCTTCACAAAGCTGGACAGGTTAGAAGCTCTATGCTCGAATGTACTCTGCAAGGTGTCAATGTCCGTGTTGATGCATTCGCCAAGTGGCCAGCCCATTCCTCGTGGTCTAATCAGAGAGGTTCTGATGCCTGCATGCTTGTTTGCCAGACTGCGTTAGTCTGTTAGACCTGAGTTTCTAGCTGTGATCATAGGGCGCAGGGAATCAGGAGTTCAGGACTTGCCCCAACGAAAGATTTGACAATTTTTTCGAAAGAAGTGCGCATGGGGGCCTGGGATACTAGAATATCGAACAGTCACGGAAAAAAATGGATAGATGGGTAGAACCGTAGAATTATCTGCGGACATCCATGAACAAGAAGATTGCAATGATGTGATCTGAGGATCTCCATACAGTCTCTCTGCTACCCCTGGTAGTCAGCCACTCCACCCCAGTATTTGTGTAATCTGATTACCCTTAAAAGAGGTCCACACTGTGTGGCGGTTATCGTCGCTCTCTGTTTGTTATGTCGGTGCTGAGATTGGTCGGGAGTGGATCCGTTGCGGCCTCAGGCCACAAGCTGAGAGGTTATATGATTTAACCTTGGAGGACAGAAATAGGAACAAACATGAGGATAAGTCGGGCTTGGAGGTTACCATTTGAGCAAAGAGAATATGGACGGTCAATCCTAAGAATTGTCCATTCATCTACTCAAAACTGACAGGTGGGATCATGAATGGTCATCAGAACAAAGATGCTGATGCATGATGCCGTCCTCCTATGGAGTACTTAAAAAACCTGAGATGCTCACCGCCTCGGCAGCAACGGCCATACAGACTTTGAAGAGAGAGCATGCTTTCATACCAATAGGGCCAGCGAGGCACACCGTATATCTGTTGTCAATGAGATCCGCTCTGTTGCCAGAGCAGAAGATATTGACGTTTCCAGGCTAATGCAGTCATTGCCTAGGGCTCATGATTGTCTAGAACTAGATTATGCACAGCCACAAGTGCAGGATTCTATTGTTCCATTCAACGAGGTGTGAACGTCAGGTGCTGGAAAGGTACCCCCACTAGATACCTCGAAACTTTGTAAGGATACCTGTACTGACGACCATGGTTTTTCGACCATGGTCTGGTCTGGCCCACAGCTGCTTTATCTGGGGTCAGGAGACAAGAGGGATTTTCTCTTGAAATAGTAGCAAAGAGAAAGGGGCGACATGGAGGTCACCATTAACCTTCCAACGTGTCTCTCAATCTATGTGTGGTTTACCCATAAATAGGTACGCTAGATCATGGCTTCTGGCCCTCGGTAGAGTCCATGAGAAAGCTCAATTATGTGGTCTGAAGATGCAAAAATTGTATCAGATAGAATCTATCCATGAAGATATCGAGCAATGTTAAAATGCCTCAGATCAACAAGATATGATGATACCACTTGTTATGCAGCTACAGCATAGGTATATCCCTCACCCTGGAGTCTTTGATATGATTGGTACAAAGTTACTCTAGCGACCTGAGGCATTCAATCCCGCTGTATCAACCCAACTTAGCCTACTAGTACCCTGTACCTGGCAAATTCAGGTACTCCCTTTTTGACAACATAGATTCCACATGTTCTTTAGCCTATATAGCTAAATGTCTGTAGATGATTAGAAGACATCGTAGTCCAATTCTCGGGTGGCAGACAGAAAACTTGCAAGGTGCCCAACAATGTCCATCCATTGAGAATCATTTATTTTTATTAAAGAAGCCAAAAGAAAGGAAGATTAAGAGTGGGGAGGTCCACTAATCCTGAAATGGAAAGAAGATGAGCCTGAGGTACCCGCCCGCAATTGCAACGAACGACTTTGAGTGGTTTACATTTTACCGGACGGTTTTGTAACGGTATTGTACCACAGAGGCCAGACACAGCGGGGGCCCCGGCGTTTTGATGCCGTCAGAGAACGTCACGCGACGGGGCGGTGGGCCGTGGCAGGAAGAAAGCAGTTAGACTGGTTCTACGGTCACTCTGCCATGCAAAAAGTCATACATCATCTGCCTGCTGCTAATGTGTCTTGCTGCTGCTGCTGCTGCTGCTGCTACTACTACTACTTTTCTCTCCACCATCATCACCACATCTCCTCCTATCCAACTTCTCTGCATTCATCCTCTTACATTCCTACCTCCCCATCAAATAATTTCTGAAGTCGTCTGCTCATCAATTGTTCGGTCTCCTTCCATTCGCTCATCTTGCAAGAGCGTGAGCCCGTTTAGCAATCAGTTCTTGGAATTGGTCCACAATCGGTAAGCAAATCATGCTGCGTCATGTTATCAGCTCTCCCTATATTCCCGGCTATGGCTCCCTGTCCTGCTCTGATTCATCGGGAAACGTTGGAATCTCCATGTGAGCTTGCATATGGCAAAACCAAGAGCCTTATCAGCTCAGTGTCCTGCTGGATCTGTCTTATCTCAAGCCTCTGACTCCTACTACTGGAAAACCCCCCCTTTCAGTGGCATTTACCCATTGAACTTCCCTGGAACCTGTCTCAATGGCCGTAAAACAACCAAGCATATTGGGGACAGATGATTCAATGACCACCTACTCAATCCCCATCTTCCAGCCCGAGGCGCGGGGAAGTTCTTTAGCTGCGCACACCTGCCCGCTGTCATCTGCCCTCCTGAAGCCCAACGCGTTTCAAATTTTCAACCGCAGCACTTGATCAAACGTTAGCTAACATCTTCTCTGAAGCTCTATTTTCTAGCATTAATTTGAGGTTCTTCATATCCCTACGAGAATCATGGCGACACAGGCGACACAAACAGCCCCCGTCATTCCTCCTCGACCCTCGAGGTCTCCTCAGTCGAATCTTGCTCCCAAGTCGATATCAGACATGCCAAAGATCCCTCCTCGTCCCAATAGACGCGTTGAACGCTCCGTGTCTCCTCTTCGGGGCAGCTATGCTCCTTCTCCATTGAACGAACCTCCGAACTCTGCGGGATTGACTCGTACGGTGTCCAACGATCTCCCACAGCGACCCCCAAGCGTGACGATACCGTCACTTGGAGAAGAGGGTATCGAATACCAGAACCTAGATATTGGCAATTTGTCAGATAGCCATCACCAAATTGGTACCCCGGCAGAGACCAGGAATGTGGGCAGCGATCTCAAGATCCATGCGCCCCGCCCGTCATTGCCCAGTTCGAGCGCCAAGGCGAAGGTGCAGGCTGTCACTCGTACAGACTCGCGTCAGGCCGCTGCTGCCGGCCTCGGCGTGTCCGCATCGCCGGTGCCTGATGACCATCACGAGCGCTCTAGTCGCTCGCTTCACTCCAGAGCAAGCGGCTCGCGCGCAGACTCTTCCACCGCATCCTCTGATCGTCGACGCTCTCTCCAACTTCCCGCTGATGAGCACGGAATTCCTGAAATTGGTCAGAGAGTTCCCATGTACCCCAATGCGGGTGATGTGCAGGCACCGTCTCCAAGCCCCTATCAGTTGGAGCACGGAGGTCAACGCCAGGGACGCCACCATCACCGAACTCGCAGCGGCCGTGAGGCCTCCTTACCCCCTGGAAGCTATGGACTCCACGGACATGGTGTGCCTGCCACCGACAAGTTTGAGAAGGCTTGGTATGAAAAGCATCCCGATGAGTATGTCAAGGTCGAACATGGGCAATATGGCCCTGGCGTCGGGACTCCCCGCCCTGATTGGGCGCTGAGCAGCGATGATCTCAACAAGATCGTCCGTAGCTCTGCTGTGACCGGCTCTGGTCTCGGTACCTCTCCTAATGTTGCGGGTACTCCAGATGAGGAGGTCGGTTACATTGCCACGGATGAATACACCCACCGTATGGCAACCCCGGCTCCCGAATCGCGCCGCAGCTCGCGCCTGATCGGGGAGTCCCCCCTGCGCAACACGGATGTCCCCG